GAGAGCTAAAACTTTTAGAGATTTTTTTATCAGTTTGCAAGCATTTGAGCCACTGGAAGCAATAAAAATCAAAAATGTCCATATTAAGGACCACCCAAATATATATATATACATATTTCACGAGAATTAATCAAGAATAGAATCTATTAATATAAAATATATATTTTTATATATAAAGTTGCCTGAATTTCAATATGACTTCAATCCAAAGCTTAATGTGATAAATATATTATATTATATTTATCTCTATAGTCCATAAAAAAGTCAATTTTAAACTTTTTTTTGATAAAAAAAAAACAAAGAAAAAAATCTTAATGATATTATTATCCAAAAAAATTAAAATATGTACCCAAAGGTGTATTATTCATGAGAAAGACCTAAGATTGGCAAAAACTTTCATGAAAAAACATTAAAGACGACCGAAACTGAATCTGGAATCAGAGGCGAAGTTTTACATGAGGACATTTATTTGGAACATCGCTCTCTGTATGGATCAGAGACATGAACATTAGCTAAAGCCGACCAATGCGTTTGAATAGTTCGTAGTTAGAAATAAATGGAGAAGATAAAATGGTCCAATAAAGTTGCAAACATAAATATATTAGATAAATACATGGTGTGTATGTGTCTATTCTATATATGTATAAATCCTTTTGATGTATTTCAAGCAGTTAAATTTATTTCCAGACTCAAGTAGCGATGCCAATTATAATTCGCGAAAATTAGAAGTTCAACTAAAAATAAACAAATCGTGAGCATCTCTGATCCTCTGTTTAGTGTAAACATAGATTGGGCAGAATTCTATATGTATTCTTTAAATGTTGACAGAATCTTTTAAACGTTACGATTTTTGTAGTAACAAGTTGTTATTGAATGTGTTATCGAAATTATACATTCGTAAAAGTGTTTATATTTATTTTATGTATTATACGCATTTTGTGTATTACATTTATATTTATTTAAATAAAAAAAGTTTTAGGAAGTGTATTACATATGAAAAATTCTTATATAAACGGATGCGAATTTCAAGATTTTGTCTTATGAATTACAATCTGGTACATTTCATATAGACTTTAAGCAATTTGGAATTGCTTTGTTAGTTTTTGCAAATATCTATTACAAGACAACCCAATGGCTCTTCGAACATATTTTGTATCTATGTTTACAAGTAAAAATGGATATCACTTTGCCTATTGCACAAAATGTATGATTCAAACCTCCCCTAAATATGAAACTTTCATTACATGTAAGTGTTACAAATTTACTTTTAAATACAGCCATAACAGCAAATTCATTTCAAAACTCAAAAAAATTGCTGAAATTTTCAGTATTTGCTGCTCTTGGTCTTTTGAATTTTATACAAAACTTCACCTTACAATATAGTTTGCTTGTAAATTTGCATTCATACTTTCTCACATATATAAATTACAACATGTTAAAATTTAAATTGAGAGATAGATAAGATTTTTTACGTATCACAAAATTTAAGGAATTATGTCAGTCATCTTTTTAATAGATTTATATTAAACAATTATGTATAAAAATTTTAGCCTTGTATGAACAGAGGAGTAAAATAATTTTCTAGATTTTTGACTAGCAACTTTTCATGTCGTAACTTTGATGGAATGGTTGGGTTTAATACATCAGAAAAAAACCGACTTGGTCATTTACATGCATGAGTATAGATCTCATTCATTTATTTATGATATGCTTCCCACAATTAAAATATTACTGATTAATTTCATTACAGTGAAACATATGTGTCATACTACTACAGTCGTACTATATTAGTTATCTCAAATGAACCATTTCTGCGTAACACGTACCATTTGGCCTGATTCTGATAATGATAAAAAAAATTCTAAATTCACAAAACTGAACAAAATGATTGTTTTTTAATAAAAAAAACTATTTTTGAGTATAAGCATAACAGGGTTATAAACTTTCGAAAATGAATTTGGAAACAAACTAACAATAAGTAAAATTTAAACTTTGCTTATATTATCTGTACAATAGCGTTCTTTGAACCCTCAGGTTTACTCTTCATGAATTTTGATGAAACTTCTCATGATGATAGTGTTGATAGTCAAATCGAACCCCATAAAATATTATAGGCCTATGAGAAGTCGTTTAATTATAAAAATTGATTAAAGTTGCTGAATTTCGACATACTAACAGGGAACGCTATGCGTGGAGATATAGCGCGTAGCGCATTTTTTGCAACTGTAATTAATTTTTATAATTAAACCACTTTTCATAGGCCTATAATATTTTATGGGGTTTGATTTGACTATAAACTCTATCACCATGCAAAGTTTCATCAAAATCCCAGAAGAGTAAACCTGAGGGTTCCCTTGTAAGCAAAAGTTTGAAAAATCCTTAAGATGTGAAATAAATCTAAACTTTTAATTTCAAATTAAAAAATTATAAAATATCGAAAGAAAGTCATTCCTTTCATATTGTGTATTGTAAATATTAATTTTTTGTTATAGAAATTTACATACTAAATTATTGGGTAACATGACCTTTGGTAGAATCATTCTTATATGATTTACTTCCATCAATATTTGTCGATAACGTTTAGTTAATAATGAATGATATTAATGATGCTTGAGATAAATTGAATTTGTGGATTACATATTTAATATGTTTCGATATCTCGATGTGCAATATATGAAAAAGTAATGCTTCAATATTATATTGGCGTCGGACGTTGCAGAAAAGCTTTCGGTATTGATTGCTATTTATCTCTTATCGTTCCTGTTATATGACTTTTTTTATAAAGTGTGTCTTTATGTCATCGTCGTAAAAGCTAATGGAGATATTGGAAAAATATCGGAATTGCGTTCTACGAATTAATAGTTAACTATTACTCGACGTGACTGACTTGTGTGCCGCTATAATTTAAAGGAAACAATTTTTAAGTGGGTAAGTTATAAAAATTCGATTTTTTTAAATTCTATAGATTTTGATTTTTGATATCACAAAAGATATGGAGTTTTTAAAATTTTGATATTTTGTTCAAAACAATGATACGATAAAACCGGAAAACACAAATGGTGTTGGTGCATTCTTGCAAAAAATGAATATTATATCTTAGAATATAAAATATAAATAAACATTAAAAATTGAGGTAAGACTGCTTGTGGTTGTGCCAAGGTACGGTTGTGACAGACGCCATAACAAATAAAATCTGATTACAGTACTGATTTTGAGATAGGGTCTACAGGGAGAAAGATGAAGTACGATTGTGCGAACAAGTTTCCCATTATTGCTTTCAGTTAGTGCCTTACTTGTTGCGTTTAAATAGTGAAAAGTAAGTTTTCATGTTCGAACTTTTTGAAATAATAACTGATCATTGTATACAGATCACTTTGTTTCTAATTTTGCTGCATGTTGAACATTAGTAGTTATTTACCAGCAGTTAGTTTTTGCTTAGATAATTTAGCTCAATCATAATGATGATTTGTTTTCAAAGATTTGCGTTGGATACGGTTGTGACAAAAGTTGGATACGGTAGTGCATGTATTCCTTGGCCTTTTCGGATGAAGATTAAACAAAAAAACAATCTTACTCAACTAAGACAAAATACGAAAAAGCAAGCTGAAAAAAAAATCAATATAAGAAAAAAAAGATTTCACAAAAAATGTTTGATAACTTTGTTCAAACAATTATGTTTTGTTATATATTGTTGTATTTTATGCATAAGCTTTGTTTAAATGTTTATGTTGTTATTAACGATATCAAAAGTCGTTATAAACCATTTTGATAATTTAGCTACTGTTTTTAACCTTTTTTATGTGACACTCGCCCTTTTTTGTATGATTTGATTGAATTCATTGTATTGAACGATTGTATTTCAGTAATTTCACGTAGACAAATGTTCTTACTATTTGTTATACTTTTCTCCCAGCTAACCGGTAAATTAACAAATTTATTGCTGATCAAAAAAAAGTGGCACAACCGTACCCAGTCTCCCTTACTATTATTCTCAAAATATAAGATATCAGTGATTACCTTGTGGATCTTGATTCTTTTATTTGTAAATAATTTTTCGAAATATAGGCATAGCGTTCTACGAACTATTTCTGACATGGAACTAATATAATTTAACAGAAAGAATTATATTATTTTTAAATATTGTTTCAAAATTCTAAAACTTTTAAGATCATCAAAGACAGTACATACAGTGATTACAGTTCATATTTCCTCAAAAAATAATTCGATAGAAGTTTTTTTTATTAAAATACGAACCCTTTAATATATATTTAACTATGTGATTAAACTAACTATAAAGTCGTCTTAAATTTCTAATTCTCTATTTTATTTTTTTTCTTTCTTTCTCCTCAAGGCAAATTGTGTGAACATCCATATATGTGAAAACAATAATCAGCTAAAACCAATTGAGAATTAACAAAATTGTCAAATTGATAGAATTTTTAAATTTTAACACGACCCATTATTACAAAGCTGTTTTTCTACATTTAAACTACTTTTTATATGCCTATCTTTTTTTAGAACCATAAACCTTATAATCATAAAAATTTTCAACAAAATCGCCAAAAAAGGGTTGTTCAACAATAAATTATGAAGAATTGTCTCGGCATCTTTCGAGAAACTAATGATCTAAGTTAGAGTTTTAAACTCTTATAATTGAACATGATAAGATTTCATATAAAGCGCAAAGTGTCCGCAATTTTCAAAAATATTTGAATATTTAATTCAATAATAATAATAATGGGTAGTACTGCCATAAGGCAGGTCCGTGAGCTGAGTTAAACTCCAACTCGACTCAGGGAAAAAGTAGTGTGAGAATTTTTCTCATTTCCAATGCACACCGCAGAGCCCGAGATGGGCTTATTTTCAGTTGAAAACATATTTTGATCCATATTTTCAAGTGAAAATCGACATTGCGCTGCCCGATGTCAGATTGCCGGAGCGGGGAAATTCAATAATATGTAAACATTTTTTTAATAAATAGATAAATTTAAAAACAGTACCTGTACTGACAGTGCGTGTCCTCTGGGGTGTCCTAGCCATCAGAACGACCGATAAAATGAGAAGCACCAGAAGCAAACCACCGATCATACCTAAAAGGCCTTTTTCCAAAGCGGTACGTGCCCGCCATAATGACGTGCCCTGCAAGTAAAAAAAAATAAATTCACATCAATTTGTTAAAATTAAAATTTGATTAAAACAATAAGAGCATTTTAAGCGATGTTACCATATCTGGAAAATTATAGAGTTGCCCAACAAATTTTGAGTTTTTAAGAAAAAACATCTTCTAATAAACATTATTCAACATGAATCTAAACTAATATCTTTCAAATAAACAATGATATTTTGAAATGAGAGAGGAATTTTCTCAGAAAAGTGAAGGAAATACTATGTCTCAGATTGTTAATTACATTGAACCGGTTCGGCGAAACTTTATCAAAATCTAATTACTATGGATTTCAATTAATATCTTCTTATTATGAAAAACTAATAAACGCGAGTCAATATTGAGTTATATTAAACGTCTTTCATTTTTCTTAAATAGTCGCAGGCGTTTTAGAGAAAAAGTCGACAAACTGCCAATTTTCGTTTATTATACACACACTAAGCTTTTCCAACTTTTTATTACCAAATTCGGAAACAAAAGCCTGTCCTTCGAGAAACTAAAAATATGATTTTTACTACATGCTGATTACTGACTACATACATCGAATATATAAAATCAGACCAAATTCAATAGACTTGAAAAATTTACAAAATATGCGATAGACAAAACTAATTCTTTGATAATATCAATATTAAAGTATGTGGTCGCAAGTGGCATCAATGGCGTATTAATAATATATTTGTCGGTGCGTGTAACAAAAAAAATAAAAAATAAAAAAATCCATAAGCATGGTGGAAAAATATCCAAACTTATTAACATAGAACATTCCACGATCTATTTGAAGTAAACGGCTAAAAAGTCATTGGTAAGTAAATTCCTTAGTTCTCTGGCGTGATCTCAATTTGTTACGGAAACAATTAATTCAAAGAGAATTTAAAGATCAATTTGTTAACAAAGTGAAAACTTGTTTACTAATGTTTAGCCACTAAATGATTCTGCAAGCCTTGCGAGAAAAATAATTAGCTGATTAGTAGTCGAATTCGAACAGGAACTAAAACTAGATTTGATTCAATATCAAATCACATACACAAATATATATATATATATATATATATATATATATATATATTAGGGTGGTCCTTAAAATGGTCATTTTCGAATTTCCTTGCTCCCAGGGGCTCAAATGGTTTCAAATAGATAAAAAACAATTCTCGAAAAGTTTTAGCTCTTAATATTAACGTTTAAATAGAGCGCAATTCAATCAAAGTTTGTATGGGAAGAGCAATGAAAAATTTTTGAAAATTTAAAAAAAATGTTTTAGGTATAACTTAGCGACAAATGAATGAGTTTTATTCATTCTAAATTACATCTAAAAAACATTTTTTAAATGTTTGAAAATTTTTCAATGCTATTTCCATGCAAAACTTTGATTGAATTGCGCTCTACCTAAACCATAATATTAAGAGCTAAAACTTTCAGAAAATTGTTTTTTATCCATTTGGAACCATTTGAGCCCCTGGGAGCAAGGAAATTCGAAAATGACCATTTTAAGGACCACCCTAATATATATATATATATATATATATATATTTGTATGTATATATATATGTATCAACTTGCACATGATTTTATAATATTTGCTTCAATTGTAAAGTGTAAGAAGGCATACAAATCAGTAATTAGAACAAACAATCTTATGTACCTTAATTATCTTATTAAATAAATATTTACTATAACAATTATAGTACGATGCATCTCATATGGTCAAATCTTGTTTAGTCTAGAAATGAGAGCAAGGAAAATATGTGGAAATCGTTATACCCCCGGAAGTAAACATATGTTTAGAAACAACTTGTTGATCAAACTTTTTGTTCTTTATATAACAAAAAGTTTCTTGCAAGTGATTGATATGCCAGTTGAATTAAAATTTACACTGAATTTTTTATAAAAGCTTTTTATCCTTACCGTATGGTATCGTATATGAGTGCTCGTGCTGGAGACACCCTCGTTCATCTGAATTGAACCGATGCTGTTGCTATCTTCATCAGCGAACTCCGCTTGCTTGTAGCGCGTCATCTGAAAATCGTAGATTTTTCACTAAACTTGAACTAACCCCCCCTAAGGGATGCTAACAACAAACAATTAGGGATTGAAACTAATTGATATCGTTGAAATGTGTTTCGCTACGACCGCATGCTGTGGAATGAACGGCGACCACGCGCGATGATACCGTCCAGCTGACTGACAGCCGGAGCGTCTAAATTTTGCGGTAATGAAAACATCAGGATAAACATCGAAACGCACATTACCTTGACGGACATCTGACAGCCGTACTATTTGACACTTAATATTACGCACACATTCGTGCAGCCATCTTGCAGGATAAACTTCACTAATGCTACGCTGACACTTGTGTATTACAGGTGGACGAAGGCGAATCGATTACAGCATTATTGGCACCCCCGGCGCCCGGACACGTGCGCTAGCTGTTTTATTACAAACTACGGCTCTGCGTCAACAACAAGAGCTGCGAGAAGAACTATGCTTAATTATTCGATAGGACACAATGCAAACAGACAGTATCACTGGCATTCTCGGCGGCAACACATATATACAATCTTGTGACACGCGCCTTAACCGCCCGACAAAGTGCGCATGAGCGACATGCAAATCGCCGTTTCGTCAACTAGCATTGAACTTAAGTCAATGCGAACCTAAATATTCTATCTATTATGAGGATTTTGAATACTTACACATGTTGACTGAATGTATTGTTCTACTGCATGTTGTTTACGTTCAATCTTCAGTTCAATTTATATTTTGAATAATGTTCAGTTCAATATTTGGACGAATACGCCAATATCCAACAATATTTTGATAATGAAATGCCTGAAATGATATCTGATATAACTTTTCTCTCGCCAGTTTCAATTATTTTTCAACTACCCATTGGGCAAGTTGTAGTATTCGCAAAAACATCGAAAATGAAAAATTTTATATATCTTTACGTCTGAAAGATTTCTGAACATTTTGGCATACCTTAGAAAAAATAGATGTATATGTGCGTGTGTGTCTGGATAAAAATTTTCGTTGACGATTTTGTGTACACTCATCAACCTATTTGGATAATTCACAAAGCATTCGATTTGTATTGACGGGGAGACATGCTGATTAGTTTTTGGCAAAGGCAGGTTCAGCCGTTTTGAAGATACGGGGCAAAAAGTGCCAAAAATGGTAATTCAGTTTGAGATAACGGAGCATTCGATTTGAATGTTTTATAAAATATTTTATATATTAACGAAATGAAGCGATAACGATAACATTTTTGGGATGGCAAGCCTAGCGGTTTCAGAAAACTTATAAAAAAAAAAAAAAACATCTGGCAGTAAAAAATGATCATTAAACATATGCACAATCTAGACGAGTCTAGCGGTTTTGGAAAACCTATAAAAGAAGAAAAAAAATCATCTGGCAGTCAAAAATGATCATTAGATATATGCACATCAGATTATCAGATATTTTATAGAAATTTTAATAATAAGCACATATTTTGTTTGCATTTCTATGAGTTCCGTACCAACATTAATAATGTTTAACTGCTACACTAACAATAAAGCAGCGCTTACGCGATATTTTGTCTCAAAAACGACCTTGCAAAGCGTTTGCTTAAAAAAATCCAAATTTTTCAAAATATTTCACAATGAAAAAAAAATTATTCAAAATGTCCAACTTTTTGAAAACATTCAAAATTCTCAAATATCAAATTTTTTCGAACTTGTAAAGCTTGGAAATAATGGTACGGGAAGTTTCAGCATTATTTATTCCTATTTCTCCTTATTTTCTATTCAAATTTATTTTAACGTTTTCTTTCTAAGTTTTTTGTCGCTATAATTATGTTTATACGTGATTCTGTTTTTTGATACTGCTCGTATTTATTATTTTTCAGATTTAGGATTTAAGAATTTTTCTTTTCAGATTTTATTCCATAATATTAGGCTTTGTATTTTACTGTAATGAATTTAATTAATATGATTTGTTTTCTTTAATGAGTAATTCTAATCATGTATTAGAAATATATGAAATATGAAATTACGTTGTTGCATGGTGGTTGCAAAGGGAGAGGGGGGCGGGTTGACAAAAAATTAGAAAAAATTAAGTGGGAGTGGGGAAAGGTCTAGTTATAATTACCACGTGTACTTATTTTAACTGTTTTTTTTTTAAATAAAAAAAATTACGATTTTTTCGTAAATTCAAAAAATGCTTTCAAAAAATTTTACGTAACTAAAAATACACGTGATGTTTGGTTGGAGAGGGGGGTTAATTTTAAATATCACGATGTATCACCAAAGGGAGGGAGTTCAAAAATCTTAAAAAATCGATAGTGATTAATGGACACCCCCAAAGATATAAGATCATACCTTTACGTTCAAATTAATTTAATACCAGGTAATTTTATTTATTCTATTTTCAATAGAATCACCTTTTCTATCAATACATCTATTGGGCCTCATAATCCAGTTTTAGCAGCCCTCCGCAAAGCCCGTTTTTTTTCGATTTACAACAGGAAAAGGTGAAAATCAGACGGAGTGCTACCAAAACAGGATTAAGCGGATCATAAATGTATTGACAGAAAAGGTGATTATGTTGAAAAATAGACAAAGAAACGACCTTTCCAACGATGTATGATAGTAACTTAATAAGCCATGTTGTACACCCTAAAAAAATTTATAACTCATCCTCGTATATACACAATATCCACTTCATATTTGTTTGGTATATTTCAATAATTTCGCTAATAGCATAACTTATACGTAAATCGTTGCAATCGAATTAGAGAACTTATAAAATTTCTTCTCTGATTTGATTGTTGATTTTATTTAAAAATCTCATAATTATTTAAATTTTTGAGTATTTTATAAAAAATCTAAAAAGACTAATCAAATGTTTCCTTTCTTGGGTTCTTTTGCAATCGAAATCAATTTTTTTATGAAATAATAAGATTTAGTACAATAATGAGATTTAGTATAATAGTTCTTAAAACAAACTATGTCGTTCTCTTATAACTATAATATAATCTTCTAAAATCCAAAATAAAATTACACTTAATATTCAATTCAATTGTTTTCACTTTTAATAGAAGAACTATGACAAAACTACTATTCTTTCTAGCAATTATTGCAATTCCTTATCATTTAGATTACAAACTTCGCCGCAACTAATGAATGTTTTATGGAACTAATAAATTTTGAATCATAACTTCGTTTCTAAGACTCGTATTATGGTTTCATCGCATGAAACTATTATCGCTAATAAAAAAAACTTTAAAATAGTTTATTTCTTCTAATTTGTTATCATTGTTCAAATTTCAAAATATTATAGTATTTTCTATAATCATTTAATTTACAATTCTGTATAAGGTAGTATAAAGTAATTAGTCCTGTATAAACAATAATTATTTTAAAGGAATATATGCGAGTAAACCATTTATCAAATGATTGACCTCTATTAACTTGTTTAATATCTATTATATAAGTCTGATGGTAAACTAAAAATAAAGTTAATTAACATAAAAACATAATTATGAAAACATAAAAGCATAAACGCCTTGAATTTTTTGAATACGAAATTGCAGGTTATGATTATTTATTAACTTTCGGAAAGACAAGTTTGGTTTTGCAAGAAAATCTGATTTTCTAATTTTATGTTTGAATGATTGCGGATGAAAGGATTTCAAAATTTTTGAAGCCATTTGATGAAACTCATTGAGGACTCGCGGGGATTAGTTTTGTGCAACGATCGTCAAGACATTTCTTCATGAAAGCGCAAAATTGTCCGCCAACGTATTCCTCTAAAATACTGAAACGAGTTTGAAAAACTTTCCAAGAGATATCAGTTGAAAATCGTGCTGAGTAGTTTTTGAAAAAGATCGGCCAAGACGATTCCTGGTTACTGATTGTTAAGAAAAATAATTATGAATGGAAAATTTGCATTTTCCTAAGAATAATAACTCTACTAAATGTAGTTTAATTATAAAAATTTATTAAAGATTGGAATAATAACCCTTATTTTTAACTTCTCGTAGGGTAAGTTATAGTAATTGCAAAAAAAATCGAAAATAAATTTTTTTATATATCTTTACGTTTCAAAGATTTTTGAACAATTTGGCATACCTTAGAAAAAATTGATATATGTGTGTGTGTATTTGCGGATACAAACTTTCGTCGACGATTTTGGAAACACGGTTCAACCGATTTCAATTATTCACAAAATATTCGACTCCTATTGATAAGGAGACGTGCTGATTAGTTTTTAGCATAAGCAGTTCTAGCCGATTCGAAGATACGGGGCAAAAAGTGCCACAAACGGTAACTTAGTTTTTAAGAGAACGGAGTGTCCGATTTTAATAATTCAAAAACATATTACTTATATTGACAAGATGAATTGATCAAATATTCATGAAGGCAGTTCTAGCGGTTCCGGAGATAGAGTGAAAAAAGTAAAAAGAAAAGCCGTTTGGCGGTCAAAAATGATCATTAGACATATGCACATCAAATTATCAGATATTTTATGGATATGTTATAATACGTATACATTTTGTTAACTTCCCGTAGGGCAAGTTATAGTAATCGCAAAAAAATCGAAAATGAAAATTTTTATATATCTTTACGTTTCAAAGGTTTCTGAACATTTTGGCATACCTTAGAAAAAATGGATGTATGTGTGTGTGTGCGTGTGTGTATGTATGTGCGGATACAAATTTTCGTCGACGATTTCGGGAACACCGATCAACCGATTTAAATAATTCAAAAAACATTCGATTCATATTGATAAGGAGACGAGCTGAATAGTTTTTGGCAAAGGCAGGTCTAGCCGTTCCGAAGATAAGGGCCAAAAAGTGTCAAAATCGGTAACTCAGACGCTCAGAGAACGGAGCGTCCGATTTTAATAATTCAAAAAACATTTTACTTGTATTGACAAGATGAAGAACTGATCAAATTTTCATAAAGGCAAGTCTAGCGGTTTCGGAGATCTAATAAAAAAAATTAAAAAAAAGCCATTTGGCGGTCAAAAATGATCATTAGACATATGCACATCAAATTATCAGATATTTTATAGAGATTTTAACAATAAGTATACATTTTGTTTGCATTACTATGGGTTCCGTACCAATGATATTCGATAGACGGCGACGCGACGCACACGCGCTTTGACATTTTGTCTCTATGCAGTTAAAGCAGTATGATTGCTTTGAAAAAAAGTTTAGAATTTCCAAAATATGTCAAAATAAAGAAAACATTTTTTTTTTTCAAAAAAATTTTTTGTTTTCAAAAAAAATTTTTTTTCAAAAAAAGTAATTATTTGTCAAATTTTTAGTTTCTCAAAAATCTAATATTTTCAAAATAATTTTTTTTCAAAAATGTTAATCGTTTTTAAAAAAAAATAATAATTTTTGTTACTAGTTTGCATTTCTATGGGTTCCGTAACATCGTTTGTCCGTTATTTCGTCTCCATGCTGCAGTGCGGTTGCTTTGAAAAAAAGTTGAAAATTTCTTAAATATTTCAAAAAAAAAATTTTTTTCCAAAAAGTCTTCTTTTTCCATAAGTCAATTCAAAGTTCAAAAATTTAAAATTTCTCAAAAATCTATTTTTTTTTTCAAAGTTTAAAAAAACATTTAATCTTTTTTAAAAAAATTAATTTTTGGTACGAAAAGTTCCAGCAATTTGCCTTAACGCATGATTCCATACACCGCTAGTGAAATAATAAAATAAAAAGGTTAAAATTTTATCGACACATTTAAAAATGTAGCTTACACTTAATTAATTATCGAATATTTGTACATAATCGGTAAGTTTATGCAACTTGACTCAAGAAAAATGCTTTAATTTACGTATGGTTTTTAGTTTTTAATACCATTCAAATAGATAGCATGATCATTCAACAAACAGAATGTAAAAGTGCAAAAAAATTACCGAATTATGTTTAGATTCATACGAATTACAATGTCTGTTCTATGAAAACATTTAGTAATTGTTGTTTTACGGTAAAATGAAGACTTTTATAGATGAGGTAAATAGATATCACTACTAATGATATCAGGTTGCAGGATTTATACTCGGACCCTTGTGGTTGAAAAAAGCCATAAGCCCTCTTACCACCCCGCCCTCGCACTTCATCGCAAACAACCAGCATTGCATAAAATAGTATCTTCATCAACAATAAGTTCGAATTCAGTTTAATGCCATTTCTACGCCGAATATCTCCTGCTAATAATATTTGTACACGACGTTCAAAATTTTGACTATATATTTACCTAAAAAATTACCGTAATTGCAACTTTGCCTGTTCAGCTTTAATTACACTACAGCTAAAGCAATTACTTAATCCTGTTACGATTAGTCCTAGTCTCCCCTAACAAAGTAACTGAAGCAACAGTGAATAACGTAACTATTAACACAGTTTTTCTAGGAGCAAATTCTTACGCTGAAAGATTTTACTAGTTAAATATTTTTTTAACAAAAAATGTCTCTGTTGACAAAAGTTATTGCATAAAGCCTATAAGCCAATTGATGTTTTTTACTATACTGCGGTTGTAAACTGTTAATATATGGTATTGGAAACAGTATTTTTTTCTGCATTTTAAAATGATTTATATTTCAAAAAGTTCGATTAAATCCAATTGCTTAACAATAGCAAATAAAAACAATGTAGAAAAATGAATTAAGACGGTAATGTTTAGAAATTGTAAAAAAAATCCAAGAAGGATCAGACCATAATCCAAACTTTAATCTCCAATAATTTAATCCAAATAATAATAATTAAATTTGTCACTAAAAATAACAAAAAAAAAATAAAAACGTGTTTTATTTAGAAACGCTTAATTTTAAAAATTAATCTGTATGATTTTATGATAGGACATATATTTTAGGGTTTACGTTCCCAAAAAGTTCATATAAGACTATTATAGTCGCATGCTATCTGTCTGGCCGTTTACCTTGCAAAATAACTTAGATAGCGTTCAGAAGCTGTGAGCAATTGAAAAAAACTAATTAGTTTTTAAATAATTTTTTATTATAAACGGATTATTTGAAAAACCTGGTACTTACAACGGAATGAAACAACTTTTATGCACTTGTGAAATACTCCTGATATGACGAACAAACGTACTATATTCGTAATTGTGGTTGCATTTATTTTTGTTTCCTAAAAAAATGATGTGCCAATGACCAAACCAAAGGCGCGAAGTACAAAAAAAGTTGCAGTACGTTGCTAAATCGAAATGTAAACTTTCATTTTTAAACGATTTTGAAATAAAATGATTTTTTTATTTTTATTTACATATATACATTATTTTCATATCTCATTTTCTAATGTATTTTTTCTGAAATGACATTTTGATGAAATTGAGTTTTATCTCTCGAAAAATATGGTAAGATATAATGAATTCGTCAAAAAAAAAAAATAGTATTTAATTATGAAAAAATGGTCCAGCCTGACTAACATCTTTTGATCAGTAGCATTTGTAAAGTTGATTCAAATTTATGGGCTAGAACGTAGGCGAGAAAATTTGCACTTTTCTGCTTATTAACTAATCAAGGCTAGTTCTTACCGAATTACATCGAATGGCTATTAAATTCTTGAAATTGGTTCAGCAATGTTCGAGAAAACGTTGACGAAAAGTTTTACACACACGCATTATTTTTCCAAATTTAGTCTCATTCGATTCAGAAAGTCTTGAAACGTTCAGAAAACGAAATAAAATTAGCAAATCGGATTTTTTCGCGAAAACAAATTTTCTCCTTCGAGTAATAAATAAAATATTTCGCGAAGAATTACCATCATCTAGCGTCCCTGGCGATGGCGACGTTGCCATGTTCCTACAATACAAGACAAACGCACATGTAATTTGGAAAAATAATTTAAATAATTCTATTATACTTTTAACATTATAATCAGCCAAACATTTTATATAAAAAGAAATCCAATCATTTACATAAAAAGAAAAATGTTAACTTTAGAAGATTTGACAATCCTTGTTAAAATTATTTAAATTATGCCTTCGTTAACAAACAAAATTCCACATCTCTAGCACACGATAGTTATCAAAACATTATTAACAATTTTAAAAATAATTATTCTATAGGTAACCCCTTTGTTCCTCAATCGAAGGGACTGTTACATTCGAACTTTCATTTTCACTTTTTCAAAGTTGTTTTTAAAGAATATTTTTCAAAGTTTAGGTAATGAAGATACTCAAAATATAATATATGAAAGCTGTAAAAATGAGTACATTACATTGCCTTATTTAAACGGTTATATGAGTGCAATTTGCAAGAGAAATAAACAAAATAGCTTCTGATTTGAAACATTCTGATATTAAGGGGCGATTTTATATTTATATATATATATATATATATATATATATATATATGTGCGTGTGTTTGAGTTAAAGTCAGGCGTTACATCAAAAATATTTTTATCATTATATTTTTATTATTAAGTAATCAATAAATCTATTTTTATTGATGTAACACCCAACTTTTTAAATCAAATTAAACTTATTATATCAACATCAAATTCAGGACTATTCAACAAATATATAAATATATATATATATATATATATATATATATATATATTTATATGTTATATTATATTATATTTATTATATGTATTTATATTTTATATTTAATATATATATATATATATATATATATATATATATCATATTATGGATGGTAAGTATATATATTATATACCAATTTCTTTTACACATAGTACAAAATTATGTTTAAAATTTTTAAAAAATATGAATAAAAAAAAAATACTTACTTGTAATTATATATGCACCATAATAGACTTCATCTACACTAATTCTGTAAATGTATTTGCAGCCCTCGCTTTCCAAATGTGTGGGTAACACTTCACCAATGAGTCACTACAAATGCTGCAAATAAATAAAATATAATTTGAGATGATAGTTAAATAATGAATTGCTGATGAAATATTCAATGATAATTCTATATGTTTTATTTATTAAGAATTAAATAATAGTGAATTAAATAATAGTGAATTTTATTATAGCATTTTGATTTCAAAGCGCAATATTAAATTATAATAGTTTATGTAACAGTAATACGAAAGTTTCATACACAGCTGATAGTATTGTTTTGAAAACTAACCTTACAGTACTAATTTTGTAACTCCACTTATCAATGCATTGAATTTTTATAATAAAATTGTATCTGATTTCCTCGCAAGATGAATATTTCACATATTATCACTTTACCTTCGAAAATAAATATTTACATAAGTAAGAAAATGTTGATAAAAATAATGACGGGCCCATGGTAAATTAGACATGTATATTAATAAAAATTCATATTGATACAACGTAGGACATGATTGTATGACATTGCATAACAACAAATAAATCTTATATTATGTACAATTTTATGTACCGAAACAATGTGTGCATAAAATTTGCCATTTTCAACCATTGTAGGCATATGGAAAAAATGTTATAACAATTAATATAATATAATTCATTCAAAAAGTCTTATCTGTTTACATAGGTTTGTCAATAGTCAATGATACTATATGTAATAGTATAAAAATTTAACAATAAATAGGCATTATTTCATATATCAATTACTTGTGGATAAATGTTGCTTACATCATATTTTATCATTTTATTGTGAACATTACCATATAGAAAGGCATATTCAAATGACTTATCATAATATTTATAAATATTTCTTTGTTTATTTATAATATTTATAAATATTTTTAAATATTTCTATATATAATAAGAATTTGTACTTACATTGTTAAATTTGTTATATAAATCTTTATGAACAATTTTATAAATTGTGCACACTATCTGATATATATTTAATAAATTTAGCACTATAAGTAGTACAATGTGACAATAAAAATTCTAATCTTTTGGAATCACAATATAATGAAAATATCACTGATTAAACTAATAATCATCATCAGAATCTAAGCCGTTAAACAGCTTTTTGACAGATGTATGAGCTATGGGCGTCGAATGTAGCATTCTTCTAAGTCTTGGAGAAGGACTCTCAAAATTTCGTGTATCCATATAGTCAGAAGTCGAAGATATGATTTCATCTTGGGGCATATCTAATCTCTCAATACTATCATTTTCCGATGTACTGCAAACATTAATATTGAATTGAATCAAACCAAATAAAACATCCACACCTCTCATCTATGTTATTTATAACATTTACTTTTTGAAAGTAAATGTGAAACTTACAGGCTGCAAAAATCAAAATATACAAATAAATAAAAATATCTATAGTAACCTTATTGACGACTCTGTAGGCCGGCGAATTTGTATCCTAACAGCATTGTTGGCTACACTCGACGTTAATGAATCTAAATTAATTCTTCTTAAATTCTTTCCAGGAGAAGTCACAGATTCTCTTTTACATATCGTTTTATTCAATGTTTTGCGATGCACCTTTTTCCAGAAGGCTTTTTTGTACATTTTAGAGAATTGAATACAAAAACCACTTGCAAAGGTAATGATCTTTTGTAAAATCCAGTCACTGACTGTGTATTTCTGAAATATTTATATATATGTATATACATATTTCTTAAAGACGTTATCCTTAATATACATAAGAAAAAATATCAAAGAAAAAGCAAAGTACATATGTGTTATGATTTGATGACAATTATGACAATATGGCATTAATATTGTGTTAAGTAAATAAATATTCATACCACGAAATGCATCAGTCCTAAATTACAATAGCGTTCCTTTAACAAAGCTTGCAGCCTTTCATGACGAAGTAAACTTTCTACAGTTGGCCTGTTATCTCGATTATGAGCAATCATCTTACTAATTAACTCTATTAGTTCCATAGATATGACTGTATATATATACATAGAATATATATAATTAAATAAAGAAATACAATATATGTAGAAAAAAATCAGTTATCACCAACCTTGGAAACAGCGATCGGGAATATGCCCAGATCGAAGATCATGCCATAACGGTCCATTGGTGGGTAAATCTAAGTCACAAGCTACTTCTAAAATTGTTATTCCTAAGCTATAAATATCAGCAGCTTTTGTGAATACTCCGGTCATTAACTCAGGAGCCATATACTTGCAATCGCCTTCAACTGCTTCAGTATCTTTTCCCTAGAATTATTTTAGTAAAACATTTTTTGATCCGCTTTTACTGCAGTAAAAATAACAGTTTTGCTGTTTGCATATATTTCTATGTATTATAGAAATATAGGCACAAATAAGGAGAAGGTTCTTATGTTTTTATGTAACTATTAAAGAAACATAGTAGAGGAAATATGTAATAAAGAGGTAGTTAAATGGAATAATCAAAGAAATTGTGTCTATGTATTATATTATATATATTTTTTAATTATATATATATATATATATATATATATATATATATATATATTATATATTATGATATAATGATAAGATAAGATAATATATGATAAGATATTTTAATTGTACTATAATCATAATTTTATAATAATTTTATCTAGCCTTAGAAAAATATTGAGAAATGGAAGCTTAAAGTTAGTAAATAAATCTTCAAATCAAAGAAACTATTACTAGAAATATCTCAAGTTATGTAAAATTATGGAAAAGCATTTTCTGTTATCTAAGCATGTTTTAAGTTAAATAATAAAGTGAAATACCTATTGAATTAAAAAAAACTCATTGTCAAAAGTAAGTTTATTTAAGAGTGGAACCTTCAATGTGAAGATAAACACGACCAAAAAAAAATTAAAAACGTATTGCAAAGTGCATTATTAACTTTGACTTACGTTATCTAAATCAAACAGCAGACCAAAATCACCCAATTTGCAAGTACCATTGCAACACATGAGAATGTTTGCTGGTTTAATATCAAGATGAAGCAAATTTTTCTGGTGCAGATTCTGCAATCCCTGTAATATTTTTTTTTTATTAAATATGATACATAATCTTGAATTATATCAATAGAAATAATAACTAATTACCAATGTTAAATCTAGTAGGATATTCCATACTAAACTTTCAGGAATGTCATGGTGAACACTAGTATACCTATCTAAGTTATCATCGCACAATTCCATTTGCATAAACACATTATCATGTTCCTCCCAAGCTTTATACAATCGTACACAATTTGGATGAGGAGGCACCAATTCATACCTACGAACTTCATTCAATTGTGCCTGTAATTTTTCAGCATTAGATTCAATTCACTTGAAATTAGTTATATTCTAAAATAGCATTAGTAATTGTTTACTACAATATAGTACAAAAATACTGCCAATTTTGTTATTTAAGTAGGTACAGATATCTTTTTCAAGTTGGCTGAATTCAGCAATTAGCAATCAACCTATAATTTAATATATTCCAATTTTTAGCAAAAATTATTAAAGATCAGACCTTTAATGTGTAGATAACAAAAATATTTGCTTATTGAAATTCACATAAATAAATAGTTGTACCCTTCTTGTTTTCTTCACAGCATATAACAAACCATCCTCTTTATAGCGAACTTTGTAAACCTCTCCAAATGAACCTTCTCCTAATTTTTTTATGTTTTCAAAGCACTGCTCAAAATACGTCTCATTTAATGTATCATCATATAACACAGATAAATTGGAGTCTAGAAATAAAATAACAATTATCAATTATTGTTAAAACATATAAAATTTATAGAAATAAAGAATATTGAGTATACTATACCACTATTCAAGGGTTTGGCGTTACTTTTTGTGGGAAAGAGAACGCATCGAGATTTTTTAATATCCAATTTAGGTGGCTTAGTTTCCTGTTTCCTTCCACTCATCTAAATATTTATATAAGATAATAATAATTCTTTATAATAAATTAAAATTTATATTGATATGTTTACTATTACCTTCTTAGTTGAATAAGAAACGTTTTCGTCCTGAAAAACTGGAAGAGGTCTAGGTGATAACGAATTGGTGGTCATTTTGCTCTCAAAATTGTCTTGAAAATATAATAAACAAATCATATTAATGAATATAATATAAAACATATTTTACAAAATTGTACAATAGTCAATATTTGACATGTCTTTGATACGCTTCCATTGAAAATAATTCTATACTAAGGCTTAGAAAATATTTTTAGCCTAACCTCAAAGTACTTATACATCAAATAAATATACACCAATACAAAATATTTATAAAAAATTATTTCACTTGCTTCAAAAATCTACGATGCACAACAATATACTTACATCAAAATCTTCATAAAACTTTTAAACTGCACTGTACAATAACCAAATTTAAGTACAATTTAGAAATACTAAAAATATATAGTATAAAATACTGTAAATTTAGATTAAAACCACATTACTTTAAACAAGAGACAAAAATTTAAAACATTTCTTAAACTATCTACATTATTAGCAAATTTCACGTATTTTTCATAATAACCATCTTTCCAACGAACTCGTCATGTCTACAAAAACGTTTAGATTGCATTGATTGCATGCGGCTTAGACCGAACGACCAAACAAACGTTCGCAAGGTGTTGTCACCTACGAACACGATGCTTATCCCTCTAGCGGAATATATACAATACTATAAACAATAGCATTAGGCAAGTGGCACACAGGGTTATTTCACATGTATGACAGATGAAGCATTAATTCGCTATGACAATATTAGAATACCCCGTGTTCATATTAATTCTAACATAACTAGTGGGGCGCATGGCATCGTGCCTTAAGGCAAATTGCTGGAACTTCCCGTACCAAAAATTTTTTTTTTAAAAGGATTAACATCTTTAAAAAAATTTTACTTTGAAAAAATTAGATTTTTGAGAAACTATAAATTTTTTTTTATTTTGAAATACATATTTCGGAAATTTTGAGCTTTTTTTTAAAGCAATCGAACTGCTTTAACTGCATAGAGAAGAAATATCGAAGCGCGTAAGCGCCGCGTCGCCGCTTAATTGATAAACATTGGTACGGAACCCATAGAAATGTAAACAAAATTTATACTTATTGTTAAAATCTCTATAAAATATCTGATAATTTGATGTGCATATATCTAATGATCATTTTTGACCTCAAAATGGCATTTTTTCCTTTTTTCCTAGATCTCCGAAACCGATAGACCTGCCTTCCCAAAAATTTAATCAATTCTTCATATTGTCAATACAAGTAAAAGTTTTTGAATTATTAAAATCGAACGCTCCGTTCTCTTAAAAACTGAGTTGAAAAATTTTGAGCTTTTTTTCGAAGCAATCGAACTGCTTTAACTGCATAGAGTAGAAATATAGAAGCGCGTAAGCACCGCGTCGCCGCTTAATTGATAAACATTGGTACGGAACCCATAGAAATGTAAACAAAATTTATACTTATTGTTAAAATCTCTATAAAATATTTGATAATTTGATGTGCATATATCTAATGATCATTTTTGACCTCAAAATGGCATTTTTTCCTTTTTTTCCTAGATCTCCGAAACCGATAGACCTGCCTTCCCAAAAATTTAATCAGTTCTTCATATTGTCAATACAAGTAAAAGTTTTTGAATTATTAAAATCGAACGCTCCGTTCTCTTAAAAACTGAGTTGAAAAATTTTGAGCTTTTTTTCGAAGCAATCGAACTGCTTTAACTGCATAGAGAAGAAATATCGAAGCGCGTAAGCGTCGCCGCTTAATTGATAAACATTGGTGAACCCATAGAAATGTAAACAAAATTTATACTTATTGTTAAAATCTCTATAAAATATCTGATGATTTGATGTGCATATATCTAATGATCATTTTTGACCTCAAAATGGCATTTGTTCCTTTTTTTTCTAGATCTCCAAAACCGATAGACCTGCCTTCCCAAAAATTTAATCAGTTCTTCATATTGTCAATACAAGTAAAAGTTTTTGAATTATTAAAATCGAACGCCCCGTTCTCTTAAAAACTGAGTTACCGTTTTTGGCACTTTTTGTTTCGTATCTTCGATAAAAATAAAGATAAAATGTTCAACAGTTTATTTCGAAAATAAAATTCTCACTTTCACTAAAAATTAATCGATGCAGTTCCCAATTGATGTCTTTCAAACATAGTATCTGTTATTCTATGAATTAAATTAATTTGCTTACCGCATTTTATTTAATCCATTTCGTCTTTAAAAATGTATTTTATTTAAGTGTGGACGTCGACTGTAATCAGTTAACACTGAAATTGCATATGCTTCGCCATAATTCTTCGGCAAAATTTTAAACTTTGATGATTTTTTATAATTCATTTGCTTAAATGCTTATCGTATGTTTAACATTTAATATCGAAGAAATGGCTCGGTCGATCCTTACCAAAAATAATTAACGCAATTCTCAACCAATATCTTTTGAAGAGTTTTTGAATTTCGCACATTTCGGGATGTTTTCTCAAAAACGACCGACCAATTTCGATAATTAATGGCTCGTCTGCATTACAAAAATCTTTTGTACGGCGAATCTGTTCGCAATGTTCGCAATCCCAGAATAGGTGTATACAATTTGTATCTTTATGTAAAAATCAATGTATGTATTTAAGTCAAATAAAGCAAATTTTCAAGTTAAAAAAATTAAAATTTTTGCAATGTGCGCAGACAAAATTATTGCAAACAAAAGCAAACCACACGCACGTTGCGAACAGGGTTCGTCAACCCTCGAATGCACCATAAAAGACATTTAATTTAACTCGATCAGCTCAGTCGTTTCTTTATAATTGTCAGATAAGTTCCGTCAATGTTTCTGCCAGACATTCTGAATCGATTATGACATTTCAAAAACTTTACAGAATATATCATTTGGGTAGGGGGATGTGCTAATTAATTTTTTTTAATGATCGGCCGGATCGTTTCATCTTTGTCTCAAAATAATTGACGATATCAATGAAATTCTAAATAAAGATAGAGTTGCAGATCGCAACCAACATTCTAAAATATTACAGGCATTTGGATAATAGTTTAATTATAAAAAATATTGAAAGTTTGGAAAAATGAGTCATGGGTCAAGACATACAATATCTTCTGACTTTTTTACTATAATCCGGGGATCCAAACTTTCCACTAATTCGACACCTTCTGGTTTTTAATAGTGTCGGATTAGCGAGATTCTACCGTATATATATTACAATATTCGGGTGTATTATTATTACATCTTACCTCAAGGCAAAATTTCACTTACGTCTAATTTATTTTCATTGATGGCACCACATTTAATTGAACACCTTTTACTAGTTTATTTATAGTTTCTATTTTACTTACTCAATCTTTTTGCTCCTCGGTTTTTAATCTCTTATATATTCTTTTTTCGTATAATTGTTCTTCGTTTTTTTAGTACTTCTTTATCATTTGTTCTATGATGTTGTGGAAAAAGGACCTTCTTCTCAGCATAGATATAAGTAAGCTTTCCAATTTGGATTTCATACAATTTCGTTTTTTTAATTTTCCATAGGGTAACACACACATATACATCATTTTTTTCTAAGATATGCCAAAATGTCCAGAAACCTTTGAAACGTAAATATATATAAATTAGGTTAAGTTTATAGTTTAAACGTAGTAGAAGGTATTACCTAAATCATAAATAGTTCAAATTAATGTATTTCATAGTTATTTTCATAACATTTTTGTAATTCTTACATTTGTTACATATTACCATAGATAAGTAAACATATTACAGTTTTTTATGTTGTATACTCTTTTATATATAGTATATTGTATACTATTTTGTATACTTTTTATATTGTATATTGTATATTGTATACTTTTTATATTGTATACATTTTCCTTATCTATGTTGTATTCTCTTCTTTTATCTATGATTGTATCCATTTATGCTTATTTATCTATGATTGTATATATTATGACTGTGAACTTTGGTACAAGCGGTGTTATCAGCGTCTCACGGTAACAAACTAGTATTGTTTTGACATTTCTATGGAAGCGTAAATATTTTGCGTTTTTTGTAATTGAGTTTACTGTAATCTTATATTTATTTACAAAAATGAATGCTTTAAATAATAAAAATATACATTTTACCCCTTAATAAGGGCAGATTTTAATAATAGACATGCTTGCCGAGTGAGTGCCATCCCATAAATAGATAATAGTGACTACTCCATTCTATTCAAAACAATACATACAACTCTGTCTTGATATAAAGCTTCAATAATAGATGTTTTGATTGCGAAGTAAGTGTATGAGTGATTTTATATAAAAAAGTGCTCGAAACAATGATATGTTGAGTGATCGTATTTATTTTTATTAATTTTTATTTTCCTTCAAGCAATATTAATTTATAATAACCGTTAACGACATCTTTTCTCCCGCTAACAAGCCTATTTTGAGGTACGCCTACTTACTATTTGTTATTATAAACGTGACGCAGTAACTCTATTGTCAATTTGTAATATGCCACCTGTTTTATTTTATTTGTTTACAGCACGTTAAATAACAATATTTTTGATCAATTGTGCTGAAAAAAGGTATCCATAACATTATCATTGAACTGTGCATAAGTATTGTCAAATTTGAATTAAAATTCTCATTCCACTTTTAAGCCTGTTAAGATTAAAGTGTGTTATTTGTTAGCGCTTAATATATATTTTGATATTTTTCCTATATTATAGGTTTCTTGCATTATGCATTGTAGCATGGGGTCTGTAACATAAATTAAAAACAATATTGTAATAATATTAGTCCAAGTTTTTACTAGTAAATATGAGTACCATGGAGGAGTCAAATGAAGTATTGGTTTGTGCTTCGGAGTATCTAAAAGGTAACTAGTTATTAACAGTATATTAACTATAATATAGGTGGGAGTTATTCATTATCAACATTCAGATTCAGATCAGATTTGATTTTTAGTTACAGTAGGACGTAATGGCAGAAGTATTTTAATTTCAATATCATTGAAACATTATGATTATTTTTGTAGCAGTCATTGCTAGGTTAAAGTTGTATATTTTAGTTTGAAGCTTTCTTTATATC